TTTTTTGTTACAGCTGCGTATGAATTAACATTTAGTCATTAGAATTGTTTATTTACATCAAACGGACACAACAGTAAAAATAATTTTTATTGTTTTTTATGTTGACAAAAAAGCATCGAAAAGAAGTTCAAATTTTTTTTTTTGTTGTGTATAGTAGTACTACCAAAACTTGTGTTAATTTTTATGAATTATAATTTCTTAGGCCTGGATCGATTAAATTATCAATATTTTGTAAGAGGAAGATTTGTCTTGACTAGTCTTCAAAAAAATGAGGTTTTATGCGTTAGACAGTCTCAGATTTTATTGTCTGTAAGACGTTCGGCCGACTTATGGATTCTATACAGTTTTTAGTGTTTAGCGTGATATACGGTTGTCTAGTCCTCTTTCTTCGTCTGTGTGCAGTATTGTTTGCTTTTAACGCTTTCATTTATTTTGCAAGCGTAGGCAGTTATGGATGTTGTTAGTGATTTTTAAGGTTTCAAAAAAGTATACTGCAAATGTGTCGTTGTTTTTTAATTTAAACACTGCACATAATAATATTGGTCATTTTTTAAAATTGAACTAATATTCTTTGTTTTATTTTGAGATTTTGGTATCGTCCTCGGCTGCAAATTTTACATAAAAGAAATTACGAATCGGAAATTAGCTGAAAAAGAACCAGGTTTGAAAGAAGGAGATACTATTCTGAGAATTAACGGGCAGAGTGTTGACGGAATTACTATTGAGGAAGCTACAAAGTGGTTGACGAGAAGTAGAGAGAAGTTGTCTTTAGTAGTTCAAAGAGATGTTCGGACTGGGACAAGCAGGTTAGAGCTAAGTTTTTTTGGTTGCAATTTTAGTCATTCATTTTCACTTAGGTTTTCTTAAGCTTTAGCAATTAATTATCGCATTCTAAATTAAGATGGCCGAGTCAAAATACAATCTATGAACGACTCGGATCGGTGACAACAACCCCCCGACATAGTCCATCGCCTATGCATATGTCACATCAGTATCCTGTCCCACAAGCTTCAACCGCTGACCTGATCAATAACTCGTCTGCATCTAACTCAAGGTGTTTAAGTTTTTAAGTATTTATCATTCTGTTTGAACTACAATTTCTTTAGGATGTATCTTTCACCTGTTTTCTTATTTGTCTATTCAAAATATCCTTTCGTCCTCCTTAGGTGGTCTCAGTCTCAGAGTGAACACCCATCTGCAGATTATGGTGATTACTGTAAGAGAAATGGAAGTATAGCTAGCAGTCACGGTAATGTTGATTACGAAGTACGCACAATTAGGTTCCATAAAGAAGGAGGTTTGTTTTGTGTTCTTGATGTTCACTATCTCACTTATCACTCTTTGAACTAAAATGGAGTTTTGTTTTTTAGGAATGGGTGTGCGGGTGATTGGAGGCAATCAGGTTGGTATCTTTGTTTCTGCAGTTCAGGAAGACTCGCCTGCTGCTAAAAATGCTATACGGCCCGGAGACCGAATCCTTGCAGTCAATGGTAAAAGCATGCTAGGAGTTACGAGAGAGGAGGTATCATTGTTATTTATTTTGGCATAAAAGGTTTTGAATTTACTTCAGAGTGTTTTCATGACTTTCGTTACTTAAGGTTGTCAAACATCTTTTATCGCTTAGTGATGACGTCACAATTGGTGTTCAGTATGCACCATTGGAGTTTGAAGAAGTGAGGGCCAATCAGAGAGGCGATAGTTTTTATATCAGGTGCTTTAAAAATTCTCTAGTCTAAAATCGCAGGATTGTTTATCTTTTAGCCAGATTGCGTATTTCCTCATAGCTCAAAATTGCAGTCTAGAATTCTGAGATACCAAAGGCTAATTTATAGTTTTTTTTTTGTTTTAGAACTCATTTTGCGTATCAAAAGACTTCAAACCAGCTGGAGCTATCCTTCCATAATGGAGATATCTTTCTGGTAACTGATACCCTTTTTGGAGGAACGGTCGGATTTTGGCAGGCGACTAGGGTTTATTCTTCTGTAGAAAGTGGCAGTAATGGTGCGGAACCAGTGAAAGGTGTGATACCTAATGCAGAGGGGTCAGATTTTTTAGATTGTCATTTTGTTCTTTTTAGTGATTTGCAAATACTTTCAAATTTTTATAGTTAAGCATACTGAAGCGAAAATTTGTTGAAAACTATTTTTTACAGAGCAGAGAAATTAGCAGCTGCGTCTAGATCTGATACATATACGTTAGGTCGTTCAACATTCTTTCGCAGGAAGCTGAAGGAAAGAAGGACAAAATCGTTGAACAAAAACGTTATTGATGAACTGCCCTTTTCTGACAGTAACGGAGATATGGCTCTTCCCGCTTACGAACGGGTTACTCTAAGACAACCGTCATTTCAGAGGTATTTAGTTGTTAATTTTTTCCCAATTTATGAGGAAAATCTTTGGTTAATTTGCAAAATTTTATATTATCATAATGAAGACTGAATCCTAGCTTTGGTTTCTGCTCGTGCTTACTTTAAATGATTTCAGACCTATTGTACTCTATGGGCCATTGGCTGACGTCGCTCGAAAAATGCTTCTAACAACTTTTGCTTTACGTTTTGCGGTTCCTGCAGGCGATGGAGGTTTAAGATTAAGAAGTATCGATGAAGTTATTAGCTCCAATAAGGTTCTCAACAGTGAATAATTTTTTGACAGCTTTTATTTGTTGTTAATTTTTTAGGCTTAGGATTGCCAATCTAGATTCTTAAGCGGTATTGCTTCTAGTGATAAATGAAGTTATAATGGCTTAAATAGGATATTTTATCATCACAAATTTATATTTAGCACTGTCTTCTTGACGTAAGTCCTGGTTCTGTTGAACGACTTCAGCTTGCCCAGTACGCTCCAATTGTAATTTTAATTGACGTAGAAAGTCGTCACAGAATACGTGAGCTTAGAAACAAAGCTGGTGCCACTCTCGTTTCTTCCAGAAAATTAATGGAACAAGCACATAAAATTAAGAAACATTATTCCCATATCATAACAGGTATGAATTTCGGAAGAATATCTTATCTTATGTTACCATTACTTTGTTATTATATACATTGCATAATTAAATTGTTTTGTGGATTTAGCAATACTTGATGCTACCAAGCAAGATGGTTGGTTTGAGTCTTTAAGACAACTAATAGCTCATCTGCAAGACCGTAGTGTTTGGATGCCAGAATTCCGGCCTTCATCTAATTTAAATGATATGCTGCTTCTACCAATGCAAAGTTTCCAAAATCAAAGTGATTCTGATGCCGACTCTTTGAGAGGGGTAATTATTATTAGTTTTTGGATGCTAACTATTTAATTTTGTGCGTAGACCTCAAGTGTATATATTTTGTTTTTCTGGCGCGTGATTTTATCGGTTTTTTAATTTGTAATTAGCACGATTCATAATTATCATTACAGCGCACTTCTTTCAGGAATATTCTGGTAGCGACTATGCAACGCAGAGAAATATGCACGGAGATATAGATGCAAGTCCATTCAGGTACTTTTTTGTGTAGATGAATTGTCATCATTCTGTATGCTGCTGAAGTAGACAGTGATTCATAAAAACTTAGATTTTTACTTTTGAAATTAATGTTTTTTTGTCTAATTTCCACTTCTTTGTCTTCCATTTTCAAGCTTTAAGGTCGATATATGACTCCAATGTTGGTAATAACGGAAATTACATTTCTCGTGCTCAGTTGCACTCAGCAAACGCGTCGTCTACTGGCAGTTTGGCAGTTCGCTTTGCACTTTACGATCAAAAGAACTTTTACCATCCCAGCGAGCAATATGGTTATTACTCTTCCAAAGCACCCCAACTTAACCCACAGCAGTCCATAATGAATTCGTCAGTTCGTCGCTTAATTGGGGATGGAAGTGTTAGGGGTTCAAATCCATCTTGGGCAACTCTGCCGCGTCGATTTCAACATGGCTCGGCATCAAGTTCTCCTGCTTTAAATACTTCTTTGAATATTTCGCAAGAAAGCAAGATGAGTTTACCATTGCAACATCCGACAGTTGACAGAATTATGTCGCAAGCATCTCCTAGTCACTTTCGAGAAACGTTTGCTTCTTCTGTGCGTTCTTCACCCAGTAAGACCCAGCCTTTATTTCCTGAAGAAACTTCCGTACTTCGGTCCACGACTTCACCAGCTCCAACTACCTCAAACCAGGCAAGACTGAGTATTGAAGGAAAAGCGGCCAATGACAAGTCATCTGTTTGCTGTGATGTTAAGGAGGTCAGTTTGTGATTCTTTATGTGAAACTGTTATTTTCTTGGTTATGCTGTAATTAGCCGAATAAAAACCAAGTAATATTTTTTAGTCATTGACTGAACAGGGTGTAGGTTATTATGGGCCGGACAGTATGGTGGAAGCAATGAAGTCTGTTTTGCTTGAAAACACTCCGTCGCCAAACCGACATCATCACATGACTCAACAAAACAGTTATAGCCCCCAGGGGCGTTCTGGCCTGTTTTTTGATCAAGTAACTAGGTAAATATTAATTTGTTAAACTTGTGAATTTAAATCTCTTTTTCACAACTTGTAGGAAGTTTGCTGGAATTTGTAAAAAGTTTCAAATAAAATTTATTTGTCGTAGAAGATTGTCTTTTGTAGTTTTTACGGCAGTAAGTAGTCGATTAAGAGTAGTATATGTTCGAGGTGATGAGATGAATTTAATCTTCAGACCGCATGGTGGCAGTAATAACTTTATTCTGCGGTGTAGAAGAATAACGTTTTTTAGTGGATTTATATAATGTTTATTTCAAAACTAGTTTAACTGTCAAACTTTTCGGTATCAAAAATGATAAGTTTCTGGCTTTAAATGCTTGATGTTGATTTGTATTTAGTTTATTGGTTACAATTGCAGAAATCGTTGGAATAGTATTGGTCAAGGAGAGCGCAGACAGCCTCTTTTGCCTACTCATCTTCCGTCTCGCTCTTTGCACATGAGAGCTTCGCCTTTAGCTGACCGACAAACTAATTCTACTTCAAAGTTACTATTTCATTGAAAAAAATTAACTTTCTTCTTCGGGGTTTGGTGAAATCAACGGTTTTCTTTATAATGTGTTGCGTAAAAGCAGACTTAAATGGTTAGTTTTTCAGCGATGGAGGCATCCGTTATGTAGATGACTCACCTGTTGATTTTCATCAGCAGCCTACTACGTCAGCGTCTGTGACGAGTAATAGTCGGAAAGAATCTGGTGGTATTAAATCCCCGAGAATCGTGAGCTCTGAAGAATCGCAAGAGTACGATTCGAGCAAAATTGGTACATCATTTGAGGGCGAACAAAACCGAGTAAGGAATGTTATTCCTGAACCTTCTCCTGCATCCAAAGAAAAAACTGAAGAAGACGATGCTACAATAATCGAACACGTATCTGACGTTATTGGCTCAGGCGGTGGAACTTTGAACTGTCCCGAATCTGGAGTTATGCTTATTATACCTGAGGGAGCAATTAAAGAAGGGGTAAGAATTCTCTCTTAATAAGTGTTACATTTACTTTCACTTTTTATTGGGATGAAAGCGAAAGTATTTCAGTAAGCTTTTAAGGTGCAACAAGAAATTTACGTGAGGGTTTGTCGACCAAATGGTAATAACAGCCGACCTCCACTTGATGAAAGCAGAGGAGAAAGCTTAATGAGTCCACTTGTGATGTGTGGTCCACAGAATCTGCAGTTTAAAAAACCGGTTGAATTACGGTAAGAAGAAAAATTTTCTGATGCTGTATTTTCCTTATTCATTTTTTTACATTATTTTTAGGCTACCGCACTCTGCATCTAATAACGGGGAAAACTGGTCATTTGCTCTGAAATCTGGTACGGGTAAACAGTGGGAGCAGATCAGTTTGGATGAGAATACATCTTCTGTTGTTACTGATAAATTTGTCTCTGTCAAAATTAATCATTTTTGAACGTATTTGCGAATGGACTAGTTTTCGATTGTTGTTTTAACATTTTATATTATTGTAAGTACCAGTTCAATTTTCGCTCATTGAAAGTGCTCTTTGTGTCGTTCTTCCTCATATTTTTAAGCGTTTTCAAAAGGTTCTGGTGGTGCTTAATCTAAAGTAGGTATTTGAGGTATGCGAACAACTGAAGCCTGTTAGATCGCTTTCTGCCAGACAGTATAATTTTTGTTGTAGTTATTGTTGTTGCTAATATTAGTCAGGTTGGCCGCTACTATGTTTTGCGCTCAGGCATGAGTGAAAAAACGGCTTGTTGTATACTGTAATGATAAGTGTAATATTTCCTGTCTAGACTCGATTATTTTTCCTCTTAATGTACATTATTTTTATTAACCCATAATTGTTTTAGGTCTAGTTAGCTTTTTTATACTTGTTTAACTAACAAACTTTGTTTTGGTTGCATAATTGTTGTAGAGTCTCTGCAGAGCTTTTATTTTGAGAACTTTAAATGCAGTATTCTTTCATTGCCTTTGAGTAGTCTTCGAGTAATGATTAACTGAGACTTCTATTCGAATAAGCAGGGTTTTTGTTTTAATTTTTTTCTTGAGGCCTTCAGATCGTTATCTTGCCACTGAATCAGTAAGTGCTAGAGGAGATAAACGAGAAACTCATTAAGTGGTTCTTGGTCTTCTTGGTTTTAAGTGTTGTAAATATGACGCACTCCTGAAACGCTGGGATGGAACAATACTTATTTTTTTTCTTCCTTTCTTTCGTTTTATCTCGCACAAAGTGAAGTGCTCTAAATGCTGTGATTTTATTTTTGTTTTCATTCAAAGCCTTTACCGAATCGTCTTCTTTGTGTAAATTTGAAAGGAATTAAAGCTTAAAGTTAACTTTTTGCGAACTTTAAAAGAGATAAATCAATGAGTGGTTGTAACCATTTGATTCAGGACTTTGAGGTTGAGGAGCCATCATGTTGATTCACATGTATGCCACGAAGATGGGGTTTTGTTGCGCGTTCTTGTTGATGCATCGTATACGGCCTGC